GCCAAAGTGTCCTTGGGCAAGATGCTGAACCCCAAATTGCCCAATAGAACAACAAAAAAAGTGCTAGCTATAGAAGCACTGTATGTATGAATGTGTGTGAATGCGTGAATGGAAAACTGTAGTGTACAGCGCTTTGAGTGGTCATCAAGACTAGAAAAGTGCTATATAAATACAACCATTTACATTCTATAACAGCATGGTGTGAAGAAAGTGCTGGACCTGGCTCTAAAGCTCTCTCACATACACACACACAAACACACACACACACACACTCACACTAACACTCACACACACACTTGCGCCCTCTCACAAACACTCACACACACACTTGCGCCCTCTCACTCGCACACACACACACACACACACACACATAGTCACACTCTCTCTCTCTCTCACACACACAGACATACTAAAATGACAATGGAAGGTCTGAAAAGGCCTTGGCCTCACTCCCAGCCACACATACCTGCACTTACTCTACCCACCTGTCAGCAAATCTATCCATTCTATTCAATAGTAACCTACCTCATAAGGTTACGGGCTGTTCCCGGCGCTCACTGCAACTGTATTTGTCCCTCTAACGATATAGATGGACCAAATGATACAGAGACAGAAGGAGAAAAAGCACGATAATGGAGAGAGAGAGGAGAATGAAGTGTGGGAGAACGCCCCACACCCTCCCCTCTCTCATCTCTCCACCCCACAAAAACCGGTCGGAGCAGTTGTACCCTTGAGCAACACAAACAGTGAGGCCTGGGCAAGTTCTCCCTTGATATTCCAGTTCTGCTGAAATCCCACATAACCGGCTTAACTAGCTCCATAAAGCCCTGTGGGGATAGAAGAATAAAACAAAGTTAAAAAAAGAACACAGAATTCTTTAATGGTGCAATTGAAGTTGAAGTAACATTTTCATCTGTTTAAATTATATTTATGAATTAACTTAAAATGTTGGTGTGAATTATGACTTTCAAAGCATGACAATGGAATAAATAGTATGACAAGATTCAGATGGTGTATGATTATAATCTAAAATGTTTTATCCACAATAAACCTTGAACACTGTCTTTGCACATACAGTTTATATTTGTAGGCAGCTCGAGGTGTAAAATGAGCTACCAAGCCATGACAGGGTGTGGTTGACCCAGTGACTTGGATAATGATATGTAAATTCAATGGCAAACTAAAGGCAACAGCAATTGCACGCTGCAAACAAGATATGATAAGCGATAGGATAAAACCCATTTCCGTATTCCTAAACCAGATTCCTCACAACTGACCTGACATGGCTCGGGGAGCATCTTCATCATTGTTCTTTTTCCTCCTTCTGCCACTCCCTCATGCCGCAGGTGTTATTTACACCTACGATGTGTGGATTAGCAGCAGGGAGATATGATCAATGCTCCCATAATCCCTGAGTTTACTTGTGCAAACAAAAGCATTGTGGCAAAAGAAAGTAGAGAACATGTACATAAATCATGTCATATTTGATGTCAAATGGTAAATGGTCTGTAATAACACTTTTCTAGAGTTACATTCTTGCCTTTCACACACACATTCATACAGTGAACCTATGGGCAGCACTTTTTCTATGAGAACGGCACATCAGGGGCAATTTGGGGCTCGGTATCTTGCCCAAGGCATGGGGAATGGGTAAGAGTGGAATCTGGGAAGTCGACCTTCTGATGAAATTGTCCCTTAAACACACAAACAGAAGCATGACTGAATCAAGTTACAGTGTATACAGGAGAAAAAAATCCAGCTCGCATCCATGCACACTGGTAAAATGGATCTGTTCTATGTTGGTGCTTCAGTGTCAGACCCATGTGTGACTTCTGTCAACAAACAGACGTGTACAACTTACATTGGGGCTGTGGTCAGTGCATCATCAGCAGACCTGTGTAGCAGCTAGCAGCTAGTTAGCATGACTTTCATCCAAAACTGTGTGTTGAGGCCTAGATTGTGTAAAATAAGATGTAGTGGTGTTTGTGGTGTCGATGCACTGTTAGGCAGGTGATGGGTGTGTTTACATTCTGAAAGGCACAGACAGCAGTGCAAAGATTATTGTGTCCATGATCACATCACTACACACAAACAAAGACCTGAGAAACTCAGATTACTATGCACACAGCGGGACTGTGACTTCACTCTCTGCTCAGGACGCCGGTACTTCCATTTATCTTTACATAAAAAGAGTAAAGGTTGCTACATTAATGTCAAAAATCTTAAATCTTCAACTTTAAAATGTATCAAATAATATAGTATGCACATTATTCATCATACATAGCTCTATCTTAATACACAGTGTAATTCAATTCATAATATCAATATCAAAAATGAGCCAAATAATCACAAAAAAACTACGAAGACATGGTAATTACCACAAAGAGTTACAAAATGATTGCAAAGATGGGAAAAGCAACTATGAGATACAAAACTCATGAAAATGAAAATGAAAGACACTGAAATTCAAATGATGTGAAATGGTCAAATGTGTAATCTTTACTTTCCTCCACAAGAGGGCCCAGTCGAGCCTTCAAGCATAGGCACCTCAACACAGGTCTGCTGATGGCAGAATCGTTTTTTTTCGGGTCTGTTCAGTTTATGATGACCCAAAAACTTTCCCATACTCAGGGCTACAAATGAATGATGTGACCTGTGAAGGAACGTTATGTTGAGAAAGGTGACGCAGTTTTGGGAATTCAAGCAGTTTGTGAGTGTGTAGAGTGACCGAGGGGTGAAAGGTCAAGCCTGCAATTTCTTTTGCTATCCACTTTTGTTTTTCTGCAGAGACCCCCTCACTCACTCACACTGAGCATATTTCAAATTTTAGAAAATGATGAAATAGATGCAAAAGAATGATTCCTCCCAGAAATCTCTAGCCACTTCACAGTCGATTATGTCACTTCTCTTGCACGGTGCAATATTTATTATCCTGTGCAGTTATAAACTGATCGGGAAGAAGTGCAGTTCAGCTCAGTGTAGCTGGTCCTCTGTTCAGCACAGCCAATCCAAGAGGAACATGAGTAACATGAACAAACAGAAAGCTGCAACAACACAATCCTATCAGAGTATGTGTGTATTTTACAGGGTGAGTCTGTCTCAAGGGCTTTCGGGTACAAAAACACAGACCATAGCGAGGTCTGAGAGTGTATGAATATGGGTGTGTGTTGGCCTGTCTGGACATTCAGTTGAATAACTTCGTTTTAACTGTTACTGAGACATTTATCAAACATTAATAACAAAAGCAACAAATTCTTGAAAAATATAAAAATGACTCTCGAACTGCTCTAACGGCCTGAGAATCCACTTCTAAGTTGGTGTACAAAATCCTTCTTAAATTGTTTGTGTGCTTCATGGTTTCTGTAACTTTACGGTATTTTTCAGCTTTTTGCTTTGGTTTTACAGCTCACAACATTAATGTTTGACTTGTCTCTCAGGACGGTACATGCACAGATACTTTGAGGGGCCATGGCTCTTTTAGACAGTAGTGCGGATAGGCTGTAGTTTTCTGTAGAATAGATTATGCAGATATGATTTTGCATCTTGAGTTCAACACTATCATCTGTCTGATTGCAAACTACAGTATTCAAACTTCTCTTAGTAATTCAATGTAGATTATCATTATTTCACATTGTGTACATCATGTAAAACAAAAAGTCAAATTCTCCACATTAACATTAGTTTGGACGGTGTCACACGATAAAGGGCACAGGGCATCGTTTGGCATCTTTTTATTAAAATGGTTTATGACTTGATCTAATGATTTGGTCCAACTTTAGTAACTATTGGACTACTCATATTCATGCAGCCACAATAATAAAACAGGTTTTCTCTCCAGAGGGGCAGCTCAGTCAAAGAGGGCAGATGGGGAGTTGTCCAGACAACTTTAGCTCTATGCAATGTCCACAGCAATCATATCAGACCAGAGGTGATGATGATGTTACAGATGTTACATTTTCACACTATTTCCTTTTTGGCTCCTGTCTCTACACTGTGAAATTCTCTTTTGAATGTATATAATTCTTCTCTTAAGTAACGGTCGACTTGTAATTCATTTTTAATCTTCATTTATCAGGCCACGCACTTTGTCTTATTTCATATAGAGCATTAGTGACAAAGAGAGACGGAGGAAGAGAGAGATGATATCTTTCTTTCACATATTCTGTGTTATAGTAGAGTTTTTTTCCATTCTCCCATGCACACACACATTCATACAGTGCATGTATGTGAAGCACTTTTCTTATCACACAACAGTCATTCAGTGCAGACACAGCTGTCAGAGGAATTAAGGGTTCAATATATTGCATAAGGACACTTTGGGATCGAACCACCAACCATCTGGTTGGTTAGTGAATGACTCGCTCTACCTCCTGTGCCATAGCTGCACCCAATTATCTTTGACATATGTTTCTTTTTCTGTTGTTAAATGTCAAAAGTGTGTGTGAAATGTAATCTGGGCTCACACTATTCACAGAACCTAATACATGTGTTTTTTTTAAATGTGGGACTTGAGGACACAAAGTAATATATATAATGTGTATAAGAGAAGTGCTCTTCAATCTAAATGTTTTACCTTGATATACGTCCTCAAACCAGTCATCTCTCTTTGTGAATGAACTGAAAGAATAAGAGCCACAAGTAGGGGCTGGTCCTTGGAAAAAGATTAACACAAACATATTGTTTTAGGAAAATGATCATTTATTACACCAGTTAGCCAGGCCAGTAGAGGTAACTGTGTAAACTCGCACTAAAGATCACTAGTGCAGTGCCCATCCTAAACCTGCCTGTTCTCTTTTCTCGTGTTGACAACACTTCTACAACACACTGTCACTTTTTACTGTTTGTGTGCAGAGTTTTTTAGAAACAGTCCATGGTGAAGAGTGAAGTTAGACAACTTTGTGTTCATCCTACCTGGTTCATCTGCAATGAAGATTTTATAGTCAATGTTTTTCATAAAATGAAATGATTCATGAAATTTTTTTTTTGTGTTTCTCCAGGTTCTCTTTATGATATTTGTAGTACATGTACCTACTTCACTTTGATTCAGCAAAGTGTATGACATTTATTGAGATGCTTGTGTTAAAGCTAAAGCTTTGTTTGTTGAGAAAAATTAACAGCAACAAAAACCAGGTTTTGTCTTCTCTCGATAAAGGAAGTAAATTGGTTTTGTAATACTAATACTATGCCATTGCACATATATGTTGCCCTTAAACTAAACTCATAGGAGAAGTTGTATGCATTTCTAGATATGAGTACCAGACTCATTCCAAAACAGACCATGATTCAGGACTATTTCATCTATTCGATATACTCTTTCCTCCCTTTTGTGTCTTTGACACCACTGCTGATCCATCAGGTTTGTCCTCTTGCTGTAGCAGTGTTCCTCAGTTACTGATGATGTGAACTAGAAAATACAGGAGAGAAATTACAGTTGAGAGATGCATCAATATTTTCTTTGGAACGCAGTGTCGTCAATATCCTCACAGGTATGTAGGAATTATCCTGTTATGCCAACATCCTAAAAATGCTTTGTTAAACAAGAGTTGAGCATTACTTGTTATATCTTAATGTCAGCCAGATGTGTATATTCAGTTCATTAAAGAACAAACATTTTGAAATATGGATACCTGAAGCACTTC